GGTGGTAAAATCAATTATTTTTTTTGGTAAAATAACTCCAAATAACTCCAGGTTTTGGTGCATTGTAGTAGAACTCTTCTAGTTACATATGCAAATGACAAACTTGAGGAAAGTGTCATAGTTTGCAAATGGGGGTTGCCACCCCATAATGGGTGAAATGTGACCACCTAATGGCAGCCCTGACGGGGTAAAATTGACTGGCTTGGAAATTATGTTAAAATTACCATAAATAAGACTGTAGAGTCTGAAACATAAAGAAAAAACATAAATAGGCTGTCAAACATGAAATATGTTATGTATGGTAATTTTATATTAACTTCCAAGCTGGTCTATGTTACCCCAAGGGCTGACATTAGGTGGTCTAAGTTCCCCCATTTGGGGGTGGCGCCCCCCATTTGCAAACTATGACACTTTCCTAAAATTTGTCATTTGCATATGTAACTAGAAGAGTTCTACTACAATGCATCAAAACCTGGAGTTATTTAACCAAAAAATACAAAAATTGGAGGGGGTACGCTGACAGGCTTTAAATAATAGCTTTTTTTTTTTGTGGGTCACATTTTTAATTTTTTAACCTAGTAGATACTAGATATGCAAACTTTTTAAATTTTTCTATTGTGTTATGTAGCCTCAGTATTAGGCCTTTAATGCCCATTGACAAAATTTTTCTATGACAAAAAGTTTTTGAGTTTTGTGGGTTTTTGTTAAAAAAACAAAAAGTGGTCTAAGTTACCTTGCAGGTCTAAGTTACCCCATTTTACGGTATAAGATATTCTTCAAGATTTTTATCTGTTTTCAGTCATGAAGTAATTGCTGTACTAAATGATTATTTAAAAAAAATCAAAATGCCTGTTTATTATACAGAATTATTGCCATTCATATTAATTATCTTGTCACATTTTTCTATGTATTGTTGATAAATATTTTTCCCTTTAAATCAACACCAATTTATATTTTTTGTTATAATTTTTGTCATATCCTTATGTCCATTTGTATTGTGCAGATTTAAGGAAATTTTTGAATGATATTAATCTTCAGGTTATGAATCTAATGCTCATAATTTGATCTGCTAAGCAACTGCTATAATATAAGCATTATCATAAATTTTCATTGTTGGAATTTGAGCTAAACTCAGGTGAGTGTTACTTTTTTGTCCTACAATTATTGAGAATTTAATTCTGGGACCTAAAATACCTTGTGGTTTTGAATAAAATGGATGTTTGTGTTTAATAATATTTGCAGCTTTTGACTCTTCAAGTGAGAAAGTAAATTTTGAATATAAAGCAACTTTTATTATTTATATAAGTACCTATTCCAAAAAACCAAAGAGCTTATTTAGAGAAAAGAAATTAATAAAAACTTTTCTGACATTGCTAACTGAAGATTGATGTTCCACAGTAATTTTGAAATAATAAAAAGTTGCTTTTTTTCATTTAGAAGAAGTTGCAGCATAGCCTGCTGGGAAATATTTTTTTCATTTAAATATTTATCAGCTATTATAAATTATGGGACACTCTAGATTCATACCAATCATGTCAGATGATCAGAAGTTACTAACATATACATATATAGGTAACTTGTTTAATCATGTAAACAATGACAACATCCACACATAGCTGCTACTGTACTACCATCTCAGGGCCATTATGGCAAGCTTCCTTACATTGTCTACAGTGTTACTGTGCTGGTTCATGATGACATCAACTGCTAGTTTGCTGACAGTTGGTTAATTAAGTGTCAGAAAAATACTCTGTATAAATTTAGTTGTCAGTTATGAATTGCACTTATCAATATCCTGGAAATTCATTGTGAAAAATATATTTGTGGCACTTAATATTGTTGAGCATCTGAACTGTCGTAGTTGGTAATTATGGAATTCTATTATATTTTGTAAAATTCAACTGTGCATCAATAAAATTGACCCACATTTCTTACTTTATAAGAACCTTAATACAAGTTGCAAGCCTGGATTTGCATTTGTAAGAAAAAGCATTGTAGAACAAAAAACAACTTGTAACAATCAATTATCTTTTTCTTGGAGGAACATCTGCTAATGAGTAAAATGCTACTGCTCAGGTTTTTAAAGAGGTCCTTTTTATTCATGTTTTGGTGCCATTGGCAGTGGATCAGAGTTGATTGCTATGATGTTTAATGGCTTGTCTCCTTCTCTAATGCCTAATAATGAAGCTCAAGTTGAAGCTTCATTGTTTGCCTAGCCTATATGTAGAAAATACCGGTACCACCTACACTGATGATAAGATCCATGTACTTTTCTTGCATGAATAACTTTCGATGAATAATAATAGCACAAAAATAATACAAATAAAAATTCATATTCAAACTGCCCAGCCATCAGAGAATGAATTTTCTAGCTGACCTGATTAACAAGAAGGAGAAATTAAATAAAATAAGTGAAACTCTTTTTTGCTACAGTTTGTATCATACAATTGGGATGCACTTTGCAGAACAAGATAATTTTGTGTTAATAGTTTAGGTTATTCCATAAACCTGGTAATTATTATGATTGGAACTATCATTTCTAAACTTTTTGTATAAAGTTACTCAGTTACTGATTGTCATATTTTTTTGCAGACACAGAGATGGACCGGCTGCTGCGTCTAGGAGGCGGCCTGCAAGCTCTCAGTCAGGGTGCTGCTGCCTCAGACACGCCCACTCCTGACACAGCAGAGCAGGTCACCTTTATTTGGATATGTTATGTCTGATACTTTATAGGCAAACATTTAGCTCTTAATTTTCTATTTTTTCCCATTGTTGAGTTGGGTGTTGTTACATTGAGTCAGTTGTGTGGATGAATTGCTTATCCATCTACAGATGTGAAAACATTTTATGCTAGAATTGTTTGGAATAAAGTAAAGTTTTTCTAATTAAAATTGAAATTATTACAAATAACATACAAAATTGACATAACTATTGTAGAATAGCCTAGAACATTATTGCATGGCAATGCAACACAGATAAGTTGAGTGGCAACACAAGATGTGTGATGCATGGGAACACAATGCAGATGGGCTGAGCCACAACCCATTACGTGGGTAGAGGCCACGTAGCCTTCTGATGATGATGGTTAAGGTTGTTATGGAGGCAATAGTGGAATACTCAGCCTCTGACTGAGCCTTGACAACAGAGCCTACTGAGCATGCAAATTTGGTTGGTTGCTTTGCAAGAAAGACACACAACTTGTGATAGCATTAGTGAGTGGAACTTGGAGTGTGATTAAGCAATAGAGGGGCCACATTTTTACTTCTGTACTAGTTTAGTTAATTCACTTGTGGTGTCGGAACTTTGAAACCATGACATTCAGTATCTATCAATCCAATTACAGTATTGGTATTTAGACTTTTAGACTTGACTCAACTTCATTGGATAAGTTCAGAGTTGTGTGTTTTAAATGATTCAATATTTTCATTTCAACACGAAACCTTCATTAATGTGGGTTATCTGGATTGTTTGGGCCTAAAACCTCACAGTACGGTAGTGAATAATATTGTACATGCAACTTAAAGCTTAATTCAATATTTAGATTTTTTGCTGCTGTGACTTAATGCTTTGTGGGATTGCTAGCCTAATTTTGGTTCTGATTGGTGGTTCTTTCAGCATTTGCTTTCCATGTTCTTCTTCCATGGTTCTTTCAGGCATAAAAAGTGATATATATATTAGGTATATTAGTTTTTGGAGTGATGGAAATATAATATAATCCACTAGAATTATGGAACATAAAATAAATTGTTAATATTCTTAGTTATTATCCACTGCCTTTTATTGCCGTCTAGATGTTTTTTCTTATTTTTGCTGTCCCTTATGCTCGCTGTATGTATTAAATTAATACCTACCTGGCTTATGCAGGTGTACATTTCTTCCCTGGCCCTGCTGAAGATGCTGAAGCATGGCCGTGCTGGCGTCCCCATGGAGGTGATGGGGCTCATGCTGGGGCAGTTTGTTGATGACTTCACCGTCTGCGTTGTTGACGTCTTTGCCATGCCACAGAGCGGCACGGTGAGTTCTCTTAACAATAGTAACTCTTGATGTGGTTTGTCATGGATGGACTTGAAACAAATTTAAAAATACTAAGTCAGCTTAGATAAACCTTCCTAATATTTTGTAGATGATGTTTCATTTCACATAAATAACGTTTAATAATTCAAATGCTTTAATAAGGCTGTTTGCTAGCTATTTCAAATGAGTTTCTTGGTAAATTTTCATACAGAATATTCGTAAGTATTTTCTTTTATAGGATGGTTTGTTACTAATTTCTTCTCCTTAGTTTATTTCATTAAACTTGTTGCTTCCACAGTTTTTGGTAGAAGTTGTCTTTGATAATTTGTTCTCTTCAGAGATAGAAATTTTCTCTTCATATGCTCGTTTTCGATACAATAGGCTCATTCATATCACTTCTGCCCCCCCCTCCATTAACCTATAACGAGTATCTAAATTTCAGTGCTCATCATTCGCTAATGTTCACAAAAAATTTATAACCACTCTAGACATAGCGTTAGTGTTTCTATAGCAAGCAGGGAACGTGAATTACGTTAATGTGTTTACTTTGTCTACGATATTCCTCGTCACTACTGGCAGTAGCCTCCATCCCCCAGGGATGAAGATGGATGCCATTACTGTTGTTTCGTTGTTGGTGCAGTTGGTGTTGGATGCTTGGTTCAGGCGGCAGCTCAAGCCTCCGTGCTGGCTGCCTGGAGACCACAGTCAGGCTCTGCCTTCAAATGAAATTTGTGGATGCAGGCCATTTCCATGTCGCGCATATACTTTCGTCTGCTCATTCGTAGCATACAGTCGTGGAAACTTGAACGCTGTGTTACTTCTCGTGAATGTCAATATCTGATTACGTGCATGTGATTTACAATAACTATGGAATGCTCACAGGTTTTGCACATATCATATAATTAACGTTCATCAACGTGTATTATTCAGAGCTCGTTATCATATTATTTATTTATCATCTCTGATTTTTTATTAAAAAAAATTATAGCGTGTACTAATGGAAAATTCCACGGCCAGGGCGTGTCAGTGGAGGCCGTGGATCCCGTTTTCCAGGCCAGGATGTTGGACATGCTTAAGCAGGTGAGCGAGCAGCTGCGTGCTCCATGCAAATGGCTAAATGTGATTATATTTACTGAATTTTCTTCATATGTCTGGCTTGGTATAGTTAATGTGCCTGAATGTGAGTATTGAGAGCAAAGTACCGGGTCGTGTCATATTGTATTTTTTTAGGCCAATAAACCACTCTATTGACCAATCCACTGGGCATTGACAGATTATCAGTCACTTGAAGGTGTTATTTCAGCCCTCGCGACCCTCGAGATGATTTTTAAAGATTTGAAGACTAAAAAATACGCGGGTAACAAACTCATCTTGACAAGTGTGTGTAGTTCTCTGAGAAAAATACTTAACCGACATATTTGAACACTTGTATACCATTGGAATTTAAACTAAAGAATTCGGAAGTAAATGCTTGTCTTAAACTGAGGTGGATATTAATACTTGTTATTGTGTTGTAGGTAGGGCGGCCGGAGATGGTGGTAGGCTGGTACCACTCTCACCCAGGCTTCGGCTGCTGGTTGTCGGGAGTGGACATCAACACGCAGCAGAGCTTCGAGGCGCTGTCCGAGCGCGCGGTGGCTGTCGTCGTCGACCCCATCCAGAGTGTTAAGGGTGAGCGGTACTGGGAGGGTGTAACAAACTAACAATGAGGTGTATGGTGTAACCATGAGGGTGTCAACGATTGGGGGTAAGTATGGTGTGTGTTAGATTATGTGTATTTATGGGTGTCTGACGATTATGTGGAAGACTTTGGCAACAAATTAACTCTTAAAGTAGCCTCAGAGTCAACGTTCTGTCTGACTAAATATGCACAGCTACAACGTAGCCTCAGAGCTACAAAGTCGCCACGCTAGAAACATTCAAGCCACACCAGTTCCGAAACGGTTTAAAGCCAATAGCGGCAGGGACAGGAGCCAGTGCTTATTTAATCTTGGGCCTTTTTTTCTGTTCCTATGAATCGAATGCCTTATCTCATATGTGTGCCAATGTATTAATAGGTGTATCAAACATAAAATATGTTATATAGGTACCTATGGTAATTTTAACTTGATTTCCAAGCCGGTCAATGTTACCCCGTCACGGCTGCCATTAGGTGGTCAAAGTTCCCCCATTGGTGGGCGGCGCCCCCCATTTGCAAACTATGACACTTTCCTAAAATTTGTCTTTTGCATATGTAACTAGAAGAGTTGTACTACAATGCATCAAAACCTGGAGTTATTTTACCAAAAAAATAAAAAAATTGGAGGGGGTACTCCAATAGGCTTTAAATAATAGCTCTTTTTCGTGGGTCACATTATTAATTTTTTAACCTATTAGATATGCAAACTTTTTAAATCTTTCTATTGTGTTACGTAGCCTCAGTATTAGGCCTTTGATGGCCATTGACAAAATTTTTCTATGTCAAATCGTTTTTGAGTTTTGAGGGTTTTTGTTAAAAAAACGAAAAGTGGTCAAAAGTTACCCCGCCGGTCAAAGTAACCCCATTTTACGGTATCATTTGTGTTGTGTTCTGACGCACTTCGTACGTATGTGAGGATGGGTGTCGGGTTCTTATAATCTTAGAGGGGCCCATACTGTAGATGCGTATCACCCGAGATGCTATACTGTCGACTCGGATTATTTTCATGATCCCATGAAGCTTGTAGGGAACAGGAGGGAGCGAGTAAAGCTGTTTCGGCCGTTCTGATTTTCGGACTGTAATTTAAGACCAGATTTTAACAGCAAATGCGATTTTATAGATGAGCCTTATATGCCTAAAAAGATGATTTGCCAGATTGTGACGGCTTTTTAACAGATTTTCTCTAATAATCCATTCAATATTGCAGTTCCATATTGAAGTTCCATTTTTTATTTTTCAACGCTCTGTTTCACTTGTTGGTGAATGAATATAATTTTTCGTGTATCTGCCACGTCTTCTTGACACTTTTTTTGTGATGTGTGATGACTATTATAACTGACGTTCGTCATTTGATGCACAGGCAAGGTTGTGATCGACGCGTTCAGGCTGATCAACCCGAACATGGTTGTACTGGGGCAGGAACCCAGACAAACGACAAGCAACCTGGGACACCTTCAAAAGCCCTCTATTCAGGTGACGTCTTGACTGCCTTCACAAAGCAAGGCTGCCTTAAACATTGGTTATTGTTGTCACTTTTCTTTCTGGAGTTCGAGTTGCAAGTCGGACAAAAATATCGTTCTAGCTCCCAATTTCATCCCACCTTTATTAACCTACAGCTAATTTTTAAATAATTTCATATTACTTCATTTTTGTGGCATTTGCTTTATTTACTGCCCCTATAAGAGAAACATCGTTATCAGTTATAGTGCCTCGCTTGATGGCAAGTCATTTCATGGCATATTTATCTGAATGCTCTTCACGCGGTAATTGTTCACTTGGCATGAAATAACTCCTCAAAGCCTTCAACTGCTTGTATAAAAACTTTAATCTCCGTTGCTACTTCGCTTTCTTTTTGTTCAACTTCTCAATTTATCTGAAGTACAAATTCAATTAACACGTTCCTTAACGAACGGCCCACTGCGGCGATGTCTGTAGCAACTGATGCAGCTCACACATGAAGTGTATTTCTCATCCTGCCTGCTGTATTACACCATTGAAAATGCAATAACTTTTACTACACTCTGCTTCTTCGTTGTCCATCGTTATAACCTTTCATGTTGCTCCGCATCCTTGAGGTTATTCGTAATAACGTTGTGGTTTTCATTTATCATTATTTTGATGGACAATATTTTTGTACCGAACATCCGCCATCCGACAATCAGTATGTGCTCAAAATCAATTGCTCTTATACTTTTCGCAGGCGCTCATCCACGGCCTGAACCGGCACTACTACTCCATCCCGATCAAGTACCGCATGAACGAGAAGGAGCAGCAGATGTTGCTGAACCTGCACAAGAAGTCGTGGCTCGAGGGCCTCACGCTCACCGACTACACGAGCCACGCAGCCACCAACGAGACCACCGTTAAGGATATCCTGGGTCTGGCCCAGCACTACCACAAGAGCCTCGAGGAGGAGGAGAACATGACGCCTGAGCAGCTCGCCATCAAGAACGTAGGCAAGGTCGACCCTAAGCGCCACTTGGAGGACAAGGTCGACCTCCTCATGACCGAGAATGTCGTCCAGTGTTTAGGGGCCATGCTCGATACGGTTATTTTCAAGTGATCATTGTCGTCTCTCATTTCTTTCTACAAATATCATGCAATTTAAATCTCTCTAACATGTCGTTAGGTAATTTTATTATTCTATTATTAAACTTTACCTGCTGGGTGTGTTTCAATTACGTTAAAAAAACACTCGTGGGTATTACTATTTCAATGAAAATTAGAATAGCATAATTTAGAAACGCTTTCTTTGAAGAAATATTCCGTTCACAAGCAGTACAGAGTACAAACGATGCGACTCGTTTAAAGTGGTGTAGCAATAATTTTAGCAAAGCTTTTTCTAACGACAGAAGTTGCTGTGGCGTCCCGTGGAACTTTTTTTTATTTTAATTTAAAACGTCTCTAAATTCTCGGCTTTTCCTGGAGTTCTCTCATTGATGAAACATTTGCAGGAACGGGTTAAATGATAATCATTAGGTAAACATAGCAATTCTTGAGCAGGGTCATTATTTGTGAACTGAACGGTAGAAATACACCGCTGTCTACAGTCGGTGATCGCTGTGAAAAGCATGCCGGTGACATCGCAATCGTGATATTCGATCTTGCAAAACCGGGTTTTTTACTACGAACCGATATTAAATATCCTGATGTCGGAGATATATGTATCGGTTAACGATAATTATAATAATTTAAATCACTTGATTGCTTAAATCTAAAATTAACGAGGAATTAAGAAACAAAGTAGGTGATACAGAAACTCGCCATATCTTGTACACGTTGAGCCGCGATCGCTGGTGGTCGTCCATTTGTAGAACGCCAATATTGCATCAAGCACCACTGAAGAAGTGATAAAATGTCTCGAGGTGCCTCCAATAAAGTTTAGTACATAAATTGCATCTATGTAGGGGATGATTCATGCGCCGGCTGTGGCTGCAAACGGATGTGAGCTGCTCCGTCAATCCTTATTCCTTTGTTTGCAACTTAGGCCAGTGTCATATCCGATCTTCGTGAATCTTTAAACAACCGATTGACAAGATGACTTTCTTGTGTGGATCGTTTTACAGTTCAACTTTACACAAGTGTGCAAAATTTCAGATCGATAGGATAAGTAGAAGTGTATTAAATTTCGATTACAAGATTTGTAGCAGACGGACAAACAAACAACAAACTAACAGACAAGAAATGAAGTTAAAGAGAAGTGTTGTAAAATGGTTAATTGTAGATAATTTTGCAATTACCATTACCTAAGCTAGGACTTCCACGTGAATAGATAATTATAATCTGCATCCGGTGAGGCTACTCGTTTTTGAAGGTTTTAACATCTGACAGTTGTTGAACCAAGTCACGTTTGAATCGCATAACGACAAATTCATTGTATACGCTAATTCCTTCAGCGTCTAGAGTGAAATCCAAATTCAAGAATGACTGCATAATCGTTTTACTGGCTAATAGTTATGATCGAATGAAGTTAAATTAAGAATTTATTATAGTAAGTAATAATATCGGTTTCAGCGTTTATTAGGCCGTAGGCCTGTCGCCGATTCTTAATATCGCAGTACCTACATTCATAGCTTGATGAGGTCTCGAACTCACTGCTCCAATTCTGCTGTGCTTAACCGCCCGGCCTCCTCGTCGATTCTGACCAGAAACTGGCGCAAAGAGCTGGGATCGAACCCGCACCTCTCTGCTTCAATCTTGGCACTCTGAACTTTCATCCACTGGACCTCCCTAATACCTGTCACCGTACGACGAATCGACTGCATAAATAAAGGAAACGACTTAACCCGATTTTTGGACATGCAAGCCTGTATGTTCCCACACATTAATTGCTAGCACAGTGCAGGCAAGCCTGTGAGCAAATGCAAGAATAATTTCTGTCATCAAACACTTGTCTTCGCAACACGAGTCCATTCGTTGACTTCTTTCAAATCGCTATTTTCATTGAATGTTTGATTGTGGTCGCTGCGGCCAGAACATGGAATGGTCTGCCAGCATCGGTGACATCTGCTTCTTCGCTGCCGTTGTTTCGTCGACGCCTAAAAACAGAACTTTTCCGTAGAGCCTTTGAATCTTAGACCTAGCCGTCATCTAATCTATTATTTATATTACTCATGTTTGTTCTATCATAGACGTCGTCAGTCTTGGCATATGTCCTTTGTTTTAGCATAGACGTCATCTGTTTTTATCCTCTCGTGTCTTTTTTAGCCACTTGTAACGTGCCCTCGAAGTTCGATCCGAACGAGACGCCACGACAATCTCTTCGTGGAATAATAATAATAATAATAATGAATATGTTAATTTCTGATTTCTTTTGCTGCATATCGGGAAGTGGAATGAGTCGGATTTTCCATTTGTTTCCTATCGAGAACTCCATTACGAGAACTTTAGACACTTATGGGTTATAACATTACCAATGGTTTAATGATCATCTGAAAGACGCATCTTCATTTGGGAGTGTTCTCGGTCAAATCATGTGAAACGCCTCATGCTAAAGCCTCAAATTCGGTACAAAATTGTGTTTCGTTTGCGCTGGAGAAAGTTAGGCAGGCCTCGATATCAGATTAAGGCTTGCTGCGCAAAAAGCATCCTGCCTTGAATAGTGACGTGAAGCTACTGCATTTAGTACGGCTAATGTCGTTGCTCTCTTATATCGAATATCGATGCCTAGACTCGCCAAAATTAAAGGGCGCAATCAAGTGAATGTATAGTTATAGATAATTTAAATTTACGTAAATTTTGTTTCACAGAAGAAAAAATCCTGGATTCAAGACTGACTTAGGTCCTACATTGATTAGGTAAGGGGAATTATGTATCTAGGTATTGCTGATTGTTGTTTCGAAATGGAATTTCACGTACAGATAACTAATTATACTCGGTGCGTGGCTATCAATGTTCATTAAGAATGCTTCAAACCGCCATATCAGTGCAGGAAATTTTATTAGGCGTTTTTGTTGGTTCACGATATCAATTTATTTGTTACTCGTCTATCAAGTTCCGATAATAGTTCGGACGATTAATCCACTTATATAAAATCGATTTGTGGACGATTACCCACTTACCTATTATATTATATAGTTAATAAATCAAATTTCCATTATTTTTTCATCGAGAAGAGTTTGAATTTACCGACCTAACGTGCCGTGTCGTGTGCTGTATGTGGGACATCCGAACGGCGTCGTGGGCTGTAGTTGTACCGTGCTTTAGATAGCGTGCGTTGCAGGTGCATCTAAACTACGATGCCGTGGCCCGTGTTTCTTTAAGAACTTGATTGCGTGCAATACACTGGGTAAGTTCTACACTGTTTATGACCGCGAGTGCCTAGAAAGATATGAGGCGTGAGAACATTTCTAAAGGTTGGAAAGGAATCGATTTAACCACTGAGATATACATACATATATAACCTATAGATACTTCTAATAGATACACATCTTGATTCGTAAGATGTAGCATTAGGAATCGTGTGACTATATGGCGTCATATCGTCAAACTGGCTCAGTGCAAAGAAATAAGAAGCTGTCGTCATGACACGCTTGATATGATAAATTTGTGGCGGTTGCTAACTCAGTTCCTGGGACCAAATCTTAAATTGGCGACATTGCGAAATAACATCAGGAGCGCCTGTAACTCAGGACATGCCTTATTGGGTGCAGGTTGACTTTGGACACCGCATTGAAAAAAGGGTGTCCGTGCATTTGAAGATAGGTAGGTATATTGAATAGTTTTAGAAAGTTGTGAAATAACTTTTTGATCTTCCCAATAACTACAATAAAATTAGTTTATTTATATGTTTATTAATGTTTGGAAGGCAGACAATGCCAAAGCAGACGATTCTTTTTGATGAACTTATGAGCTGCTGACGTAATTACAAACTACAGGAACTGATTTGCTTTGCATTTTCACACTACCCAAATTTAGACGCACATTCTACACCCGAAACAAGAAATAATTCACCTTGAATTCGAATATCAATGTTGAGGTCAGATGCCTCAAAATGGTTGGCATGGACTACTGTGGATCGATGAGTACATGCGAGGGCGAATGAATGCAATGCTATTTCTACGGATAAGCTTCTCGTCGTCAATGATATTCGTACCTACAGGCCAGTCACCCATTGTTGTACTATTAACAAGGCTGACCATCGCGCCCAGAAATGGTGCCACCGTTCTGAGCATCAAAAATTATTGAATTGCGAAAGATGTTGAATCAACAAGCTTCTTAAATTAAATATACTTGTAGAATTAGGACAGTGTCGTCTGGAACATTCTGAGACTTGAAATAAATTGCTGAACAGAATACATGACATTTGCTATGCAATTACCCTATCACCTTACAACAGTTAAATAATGCTACGCGCGAAATAAATTCGTACGGATTTAAATAAATTGGCAAGAAATTTCAATCATAAATGTACCAAAAGCTGACACGCCCTTCAATAAAATCCTAAAATCACACGTTAGCCTTTTCACTTTAGAACCCAATAGAGTACACGACAATAGCAGGATCCCTGTGCAGTGAATAACATTAAAAGAATGAATGTGAAAATGTATGAAATACACAACAGGTCAGCGGGATCCCTGGTAAGAAATGACTAGCGAGCTGCATGCGCTGCTATATTACATTAGAATTTTTCTAGATGTATTGTAGTTATTGATTATTTATTACGGCTTCGCAATACTACAGGTAAAATAACGGTCTAGAAATAGTCAGTACGGCTGGAAAACATGCATATCTCCTAACTTTTGAATAATAATTGAGCCTGTGTAAGCGAAGGACCCTGCATTCTTAGGAATGAAACAATTAAATATCCTGGTTTGCCGCTAAGATAAAACATAGTTGAATTTCTTATGGTATCTTGAGCCTCATCGGCTCAATAACCACCGAATTTAGTTCTGTGAAGGTTATCAGGAACTAGTCCATGCAGTAGCAGCCAACAGGAAACTAAAACAAGTCGTTAAAATGTTGAATCACAACCAAAATATTTCAATGCACCTGTAAGTGTTGTTCAACTAGTCAGATGAATACATAATGATGGTCGACATATTCCAGCCACCAACAAGTAAACAACATTGCAGACATGTTATAGCTATTTGCATATAAAATGTATCGAAGAGATAACCGATATTCACAAGTATAACGTAATGAAGACATTTTGCAGATATTTACAAGTAAAGCACTATGAATTGTGCCGAGCTTATAAATTAAAACATACTGAAGCTCGTCTTTTTATCAAGCCACGTGTTTCGGTGTGAATGAAAATTTCGATTTTGCGCCGAGTCTTGCTTGAATCCAATCGCGTTCAATATTTATGGCCGTTGGCCTGGCGACACTTCAAATAACACTTCGAGAATGCGCCTGACACTGTACCGTGAGCCTCCATTCCGAACCACTATATATTCGTAATTTTGTAAAGATTTCATTTATCTCATGCGGCAAGTATACTTGTCAAGCGGCCTTAATGAGTTTTTCGAGCTTCCATGTTGGCATGATTTTCGCACCGTACGACGAAAACCAATCTACTTTCTTCTGAATAAATGACCGAACCGATTTGCCGCAATTTCGGACACGCATGGTTGGACTCATTTGCGTGTACCTGAAGTTTGGACACTTGATCTTCGACCAGTTTTCGCAGTGACGCGAACGTGTCAAGCACGTACGCACTCAGCTGCACGCAGTAAGCCAACAAATATATATGGCATAAGAAGCGCATTTGTTACTTCCCTGAAGCCACGAGAAAGAATATTTTATATTATTCATAATTGCTGGTGTAATAACTCACTATTTCGCATCATCACGAACAAGTTCGTTGCCCGCGTTCTATAGCACCAGCTACAGAAGGAGCATCGCCACATTGAGATCAAAGAAACTGAAATTAAATTCTACTGAAGTAGACTGGACTTATCTATACACAAGATGCGTGTTGTAGTAACTCTTACGATGTGTCTGCTGGGGCTGGGGCAGGAGGGACAATGTCGCTATAAGGAGTGGAAGCCGGTGTCTGCAGACCCTGCCGTGTTGAAGGGTCAAAACAGCTCCCGCATCCTTGGGTCCCGAACGCGATGCTCGAGCTGGGCTTCTACAAAGGACTGGACTTTCATGGCCTGTTACATTCCCCTTACTGGTTTGTCGGGGAACTGCACCCTGTGGGATGACAAGCCCATCAGAAATGGGCAGGTGAACCTGACGGCCTCAACAGGATCAAGCAACTGCATGGCTGTCTTCGGGGCTGACGGTCAGTATGCATGATACATGAGCGGCTATATATACCCTCCTGAAGTTCTTGTTTAGATACGGCTTCTCTAAACTAATATAATACTCGAATATTTCTAAAGTCAGTCAGACCCAAAAAATTTCAGTCGAAAGTTGAAATGTTAATGTTTATATAATATTGTCTAACCCATTCAACATAGTTAAATCAACTTAAATTTGACTCCATTTGACACTCCATTACATAAGCAGTCTGCAGACACCTTGTAGATATTTGAATAATATAAGATCTTGTGTCGTTGAGCGCTTGACTTCAATCTGGAATTTTGGGGAACCTATTTCGTGGCTCGCACACGTCGGTTTTGACTGAACAGCGAGTGCGTTGCATTGTCGTTGTCCGCACATATTTTACTGCTACACAAATGCAGACAATACGTAATTTTCAGAAATTGGGTTCAAAATTTAAAATTGTTAGTAGTTCGTTCAAATAGTATAATATTTGGTGCTACAAGTTACTCCAAGTGTTGCACATTTGTTCTAAATTGACTCTGGTCCCAAGCTGAATCATTAAAAATTAGCCTGTCTCGTTCGCGCCGTTGATGTCTTCTTAATTGCGCATGGTGCGTTTTCGGTCTGATCGGAATCGGTAAACGTTGAGAAATTCACAATATTCTTGAGTTCGTGAGTCTGTTTTTATACATGGATAGATCCGAATAGAATATTTTCGCCGATTTATGTTTGATAATGTCATTATTATAAGAATATTTTGCTCTCAAAAATTTATCGTCTGTTAATTTTTCTTTGCATGTTTCAAGGCTTGTAAGATGATGTAAATGGTAAATTTCAATTTATTTATTAGATACACGACAGCATCCTAGGGAATGAATCACCTAGCCGAAGAAAGCAAGGTCGAAAAATATTATTTTTCTTTAAACACGTCACATGGGCAGTTAAGAGTAGCATTCCTTGAAAGCGACGGTACATATAAAGATTAAAAATTGGCATGAAATTTCACAGCTGATCGCAATACAACAAATCGAATTTGTGTTGTTTTAATTTTGAAAATTTTCCGAGTTATTGAACTACCAAACTTGCCAGAAGCCGCTCATCGCCTACCTTATTTTCCTGCAGCCTGTGTCCTGCCGGGAAATACCCTCCTGAAGGTCGGAGAAAAGCGAGCCAACCAGTTTTGTTCGAATGACCTACAGGACGTGTGTCTGCCCAGTGGCATGATGGACGTGAACAGTGAGTTTGACTAAACGGAATTACTCGGTAACTGTTACATGTTTTGTATTAATGACACGTTCTCCTTCAATCGTTGGTACCTAGTTGTTTATTCAACAATAGACCCAGAAAAATTCAACAAAGCGCAGGAATAATCCTAATGGATCATCACAATGGTTCTAGAACTCATGCACTATAGCTATAGATATTTACATATATTTTATTTACAGATTTGCTACGACAATCTGTAAATATTACAACAGTTGCCACACGCCACCCACCTGCATGTTCCCAGCGGCCAGCCATAAAATTCAAATAGTACATATAATTTAAATTTGATAGAGAATTCAATGTTAAAAATATTATTCATTAACGTCTTCTGTGGCATTATTTGGCATATAGTTTGCGTAATAATAGTATCCGAACGCAACGACGACGAGTTACCGTTGACACTCAGCGGCTATGCAAGACCTCAAATTTAGTGAAACACGATTACAATAATTATGGGAAAAACTGATCTAGGGCTTAGACCATTATGATATTAGAAATAAAATTACAGTTTTGATTTTATTGTTTTCTGAAACAACTAAAATTAGGGTGGGAAGTTTAATGCTAACTGAATTAATGCGCATGATGGCTATGAACGCGTGAACGTATTGTGAAATGCATGAACGTATTGTGGAGTAACCCAAATGAACTAAATAAGAGAAAATATTTCGATAGACCATACTAATTCCGGTGACATTTTTTTCTCAGATATATATTTGTAATTTGTTATATTATGTATTGTCGTACATCTGGTCGTAAATTTGCAAAATTGCAGCATAGCTTCACTCTCCTGCCATCAGAACCGACGGCGCCTCTTCAGAGCTGCACTGCACCCTTCAGTGTCTCAGGTGGATCATGTCTCATGGTTTCTTCAGTCACGAAGAATTGGTGCGAAGCTCGCGCAATTTGTCTGTCGCTGGGAGCCGACCTCGTCACTGCGCGCTCCGACCAAGACCTCATGCAGATACAAACGTTTTACAAGGCTTCTGGTATGAGTAAGTCTAATTAAAAGCAAGTAAGTCTAAATAAAATTTTGCGGAGAAAGTAGCAGAAAATATAACAACAATTTTCTGTTAACAATCGCTGCAATTGCTGTGTTTTTGGTTACAAGACAGACCACGTCTTTTGGCTGCCACTTTTGGCTGCCACACAGATTAGGAGATCAATATGTTCTTTGCACCGAAGTATGCATGCATAACATTTACTTACAAGTTTACGTCTTATATTCGTTATTCTGTTGCCATTGCGTACGCTTTAAAGCCCGAATTGGTTTGGTTCGTTCGGCCTGTTCCGGATTCCAACCAACATTCCATATAATTGAGGTTAACAGTATTCACATTATTTCTTATTTAGAAGAACTACAGATCCTGGAAATTACGCGCAATTCTGAAGTATGCATATCTGATTAGAAAGTACGTAATTAGGTATGAGGTGTCAGAAGCATTGTCAGGAGCTTGACAGAGACAGTAACGTGTCCACGTAACAGAAACTGTTTGTGTCTGGTATAATTTATAGACAGGGTGTTGAAACAAAGCATTCGTAAGTCGTAACATATGATCTGGTGTGCTGAGTATTTCAGTCGGAATTGCAATAATACTAGGGATCCATCTACTGTTAAACACACTTGGATCCTTAGGCTATGTATTCTTCATGCGATTGTTTTGATAGACGTGATGTGTTTCTTGAAAATGTGTTGTGCTTTTGTTCAATAATGCGTCTGATATTAACAGGCACGCCTGTTGCTGGGTTAATTATTCAGTAAGTCGACAGTATGGCCTTTTAGGCTACGGTAAAGTTGTCTAAAATAGTAAATTTTGCTCTATGACAGGAAAATAATTATTGTCCGGATATGAGGTCTAGCTTGTCTGCTAGATTTTTAAAGCAAGACCATTAATGGAGAGTGTCATTATTACCCATAGCGTACCCCATTACTTGTCACGGGAGTTATCTCATTATAAAATTATATATTAAGTTTTTCTCCTCTTTTTCTATGTTTACAGCTCAATACGTGTGGGTAGGCAGCAACAAAATCAACGGGCAGTGGGTGTGGCTCAACAGCTACAGGAACCCGTACACCATGCCAGACTGGTATCCCGGACAACCCGACTCGGACCTATGCGGTCATATCGTGAAGACTGCGGCGGGCGATGTCAGGCTAGCGGATCTGGGCTGTTCGGGATCACTTCTCTTCATGTGCGGAGCTTTGCTAGCTCCGTAACTTTGGCATGTGAAGTTGGTCAAGCGGCGTCACCGAAGATCGTAACGCCTACTGTATACCATGAGGTAACCTCGTCCTGCAACTAATGTTCTGATGTGCAAGTTGCAATGATGTAAATGCACTGATAAAACGAAAATAAGACACTTATTTTCATCTTCTCTTCATGAAGGCACCCCACAATTGCAGAAGATAGTGCACAACCTCTCTATTCCATTTCAGCATTCGAGCTTTTCGTGCCCACACAGATGTTAAAAAACAATTTAAAATCTTGATCGATAATGATTTCCAAATAAAGGTTATGCCTATCATGTTGGGAATAATTTTAGATATATTGTCTACTTTCAAGAAATATTTACTGTTTAAATACTATAAGCGCAAGTAAAAGAAGATTAAAATCATCGGAGAATCTTCAGCGATATATTGGCGAAGTAACACTTTTGTCGCCATGTTATAACTAATCGGTTAACAACCTGAGTTGCAGGTTGAGATCAAACAAGTTGCGTTAAAAACTCTTCTTTTTCGACTGTTCCGTGACGCGTGTCAGAAATTTACGATGGGTATGATGAATTTTATGTTCTGATACCAACGACTAAGCATTGATTGTGACTGTCTGATTGAGTCAGTGAAGAGTGTTCATTTCAATAAATCTTTTTTTAAATAAAAAATAATGACATTTACCATTATTTGCCTATTACCACCTTCGTGCACCGCACATGTTTAATACTTTGACGTGTGATCCAAGTTAAACCAGTGGGGGACATTGGACTGCACCTGTGATAGTTACGGATTCCAATGAAAGTATTCTATCAACGTATCGTGACGGTGACAGAGGCCATTGCCGACAGAACCGTGACGGCTCCAATGTGAGCCGCGGCCTCTGCTAAGAGCCTGTAATTAACAGCAAAGAATGTTCCTGACACAGCTGTTTAATTATTGATTTCCTAAATGTTAATGACGCGTGATGGGCAAACTTTTGGCCATTCCAAAAGACTGTGAACTAAATAACTATGAACTAAAAGACTGTGAAATAAGACTATGTAATAACTTGGTAGAAATTAACGAGGTAGTTTAGTACTGGTTGATATTAATTTTTTATGTCATGCTGAAGTAATTTCATGTTAGGAATTTAGTTTTTTTGAAGTTATACAAGTATTCAGATTTATTTTCGATCTGTGATTAATTGATATTTGCATAATAACATTTGTTTCATTTTTTGTGCGATGTACTGTTTGTAAATCATTACTCTAATCTTGGGTCGTAGCACACCCGCCATTCATTTAAATTTGGGATGCTTAATCATCTGAAGGCTCTCAAGATGGCTCAAGTTTGACAGCTTCTCAGATCGACCACTACTGTATGTTCTTTGATATTCGTTCTACATTATTATTTATGCAGCTGAGTGGGCGAAGCAATGACTTGATTGTATACTTATGAGATGTATACTCTCAGATGAGAGGTGTATCCTCTCACCATAAGAGGCTGAGTTACACGCACTTGACTGCAAGGCCACGTGACGACCATAGACACTCGTCTGCGTGAACCAGGCGATTTCCGTCTGAAGCTGCTTTTTCCCCACTCCACTCTTATGATTGCTTACCACGGCCTCCATTCAACGGCGAAAAAAACTGGATTTTTTGCTAGCAATATTGATATTCCTTCAAACATATTCACGTCTCTATTCATGTCAAACGTGGCTTGCAGCGCTTGTATTATTGTGGAGTAACGCAAATGAACTAAATAAGAGAACATATTTCGATAGACGATACTAATTCCATACATGTTTAATAATTATGTGGCATTGGTTAGTACTATAAGTTAAGACGTGTGTAGACTTTTGAAAGCGAAACGACCTTTTATCGCTGGTTCTCGTGGTTCTGTAGGAGAGTTATTTCATTGTCAATGTAATCTTATTATACGACTAACATAAAATTTCATTAAACTATATTAGCTATTAAAACGTTTACTTAGTAGCATCTAAACCTATATTACTTTTGAATGGGAAAAAACAATGAATTGAGCTTCGTTTCGGGTTAATAATGAGCCTGCAGCATTTCAGAATAATTACGTGTCATTCATATTATTGGGATAATATTTTAGTATTCACCAAATATTAGTCTTCATTCGAGGTCTCAACACAAATAAATCACATACAAAATTGATGGTTCATTTGATGTGACTAATTCTCAGACGTGCCCTGCGTGACAAGCAAATGTTCTGCTCACAACTGAACGAGTAGTCGAGTTGATCGTCTTGCTATTGTATGCATTGGAACTGCACCTAACAATCAAGAGGCCAGTGAACATAAAGCTGAAGGCTGAGGCGAGCCTTCTCATGTGGAGGGTGAATTCGTTGAAGTTTTTTGCTACGAATTCATCAGTTCATGTAGATGATGAATCTCAATGCTCTTTCACAGGTTATTTTGAAGATTTATGAAAAAATTAAGGAATTAAGATGATCAGCCACACGAAGTGCTGTAATTTTAATTTCACCCTCAGAATGTCATGCTACATAAGTTTTGCTATAATGTCTTACAGTAAAAGAACTGCATTGATCACACCAGTGGCGCGTATTGGGCACCTTTATGAGTGCAGAGCAATTACTTGGTAAACTGTGTCACGTTGTACTCTTTGGAGACGATAAAACGAGTCACGCAGGGGCGATGGTGGTTTCAAATAATTTCTTTGTAACTGACGGACTTGCTTGGTTTTCAAACTCCAAATACAATGGCGTAAGATATATAAACCTTCAATAAAACGTAATTGTATTTAGTTTAGAGTTTATTTCAATGTATGTTATTACTGCTGATTTGTGAGCAATGCGAATTACTTATATAGATGCAGAATTATGAAGAGCTGGAGGAACATAGACGGAACAATTAAATGAATTTCACATAGAAAGTCCATTTTCTAAAAATTAGTCTCGTATACATGTGCTTTGAAACCAAATGCACCTAAACTGAGCATATATGAGCTAGCATAAGATCAGTAAATAAATTAAGTCAATTATTCCAGCTTTCCAAGATCAGAGATAGAATAAGACAACTTTTCTGGTTTCCAGGAGCGAAAAATATTTTTTAGAAATCAATTAGAACATTAATGCATGTCCTGGAATAATGTATGAGAATATTTTAATCAAACAAACTTTTCATTTCGCAAGCTTCGCAATATATGGTTTGTACAATGAGTAAATTGAGTAATATCCTAGATTATTGAGGGTCAGGTTAATTCTAAATACAATTAAAATTTTTAATTATCTCCATTTTCAAGGTGTGCATCTCATATATGATGCAAATTTGTAGAACAGTTTTAGAAAGGATCAAAGCATTGTTCAGCTTCATTAAAATGCACCGTATCGATGTTATTGCGATGCTTGAACAGTAGAGCAAAGTTAAGTGTTGAAGATGTTTTTGATAATGGTGCAATAAGGATTAATTTTTGACAGTTAGTCATCCCTTGGTTAGTTAGTGAGAATTTGTTTGGTTTAGGTACATCATCTTATTTTAGTTCATCACACTTATTCATTCTCTAATTTCGAGGGAAGCCACAAATTCAACTCATCTCGTCTCGCCACTAGGATAATCGAGCGAAAAAATCGAGCTCACACAATTAGAATCATATATCATGACAACATGAATTATACAGTGGCCTTCCATTTTTAACAGCTCATGCGAATCTGGTGAACTAAACGATCAAAAGTAGTTTAGGTGTTGGCATATTAGCCATCAAATAACGTGAACGAAATGCTAGAGTTATTCATCGGAAATTGTCGCAAAAGTCTCACCGAAGGGCCTCGCGTGACCAGAATTCCTCGAGGTCAGAACGAGGAGAGTAAATTGAGTCCACTCAGACACTTGTAAAAGCATAGAAACTGCATGCATGTAAAATATCTGTAAATGACGTGAACGTACGATGTCGAATTCCAGAGACCCTGATGACTTGTTCCTGACGTCGTCGAGTCGATAACATGAATTGGTTTTTCTTATTTCTACAATTTTCATCTTTATTGCCTTTTGCTGGCAATTTTAACTGAACATTAAACGGCCATTAATTGAGAATAGTTAGGCTTTTTAGTTGACTAGAATTTCGTGATTGGTTCCGAATGTCAAAATCCAATTTAAATTTAAATTGCAGCGATATATCTACTATTTTTTTCCATTGAGCTTTCAAATCAGGAAGTTTCCGTGAATCACGCTATACAAATGGTTGTAAAAGTCGTGCTCTAGTTGTAGATGAATTAGTTTAAAATAATATGCGTTTAAAAATTACTTTTTAAAGACAACACTTCCAAAGAATCCAGTATCTCCAATCTTACAGATGTACAATGAATTTCTCATTTAATTTTCGAATTAAATGCAAGAATAATTTCTGTCATCAAACACTTGTCTTCGCAACACGAGTCCATTCGTTGACTTCTTTCAAATCGCTATTTTCATTGAATGTTTGATTGATGTATGCAACTAAGGAGTAATTTTTTATTCACGCAATCTAAAGGATTTGTAGCTCAAGATGTGTGTTGGAGTTGCCCTTCTGATATATCAGCTGGGGCGGGTGTATAGGAGGTTCTAGGTCGCTATAAGAAGTGGAAGCATGTGTCTGAAGACCCTTCCGTGTTGTCCTCTTTGCATTGGGGAACTGCAACTTATGGGGTGACAGCTCATCAAGAGTGGGCTGGTGAACCTGACGGTCTCAACAAGATCAAACAAATGCGTGGATGGTCAGTGTGATCTTCGAAGCGGATGGTCAGTGGTACGGTAAGGGCTCTCTTAGAAAGTAATAGTTAATCAGAAGTGTTAATAGGGTCAGATGGGTTAGTAGTTGAATTGAAGTAATGATGTACCTCATTAAAAGAAAAAACAGCCAGTTGAAATTCTCAATATTGGCATACAAGTTTCCAGCCACTCACAGACTCTTATGAGCAGCGTTAACATTACTACGGAGAGATTCTATTGAAGTTTTTGGATGGATTTGAAATCTTGAAATCTTAGTTGGGCAGAGATAATTTATAGATTCCTTTCCTAATGAAGCTCTTGGGAATTGAAACAATATTTTTTTCCAACAAAGATAATTGCAAACAAACTATAGCGCAACTAGCTTCTTGTTGACATGTTGGTTGATGCAAGAACTTTTAATGATAAGAAGAAGTAAGAAGTAGCAAAAAAGTAGCACTAGCAAAAAAAATTTAAAATAATTATATTAAAATGTATTATAATATAACATAATATATAATAATATATAATATAAAAAATAATAATAAGCTGTTCTCAGATGTTATTGAGCATCGCTTACATATAAACACGCTGGTCTCAGATGTTGTTGAGCATCTATTACATATAAACAAGCTATTCTCAGATGTCACATTTCACAAGTACCTGGATATCAAGAACTGAATTAGAAAACAATGACATGCAAACGCAGCTATTCCATATACAATGAAAGGGCTGTTCGCCGTCCGCCAACATATTTCTTAGGAGAACTGGATGTTTTTCTTAATTCTTGCATAATAATCGAAAATTTATTTAAAAGTACTATTGTTTTATCATAAAAATTATTTAAGATATTATTTAAAATCATTCTGTACGATTGGGGCCTTTCTAATTTCTGTAAACGAAACTTTCCCAAACAATATATCATCTCATTCCAAGTTCTAGGTCGAGTATCTCATCTGCGAAACAATTTCAAAATGCTTTCCAGCCAAATGATTCGTACAACCGCAGCAAGATGCGCTTGTCCACAGTTCATTGGTCAGCGAACAAAGTGATCAGTTAATCACAGTAGCACAGCGTTCAGCGTTAGATGAGACTCAAGAAGCACTCAATCAAACGCGACGCTCTCACTCACCGCGGCCGCATTTAACCGACCGTTAAATGTCGTGCTTGCGCGCAGACTCTGGCATTTGTACCAGAAAACCGGAAAACCTATCCCTATATCGTGATTGGTTTACATTTTTATTTCTGGCATAATATTCATCCATGTTTTGAATTTTTCATCTCCGAATTATAGATTCGATTTTTTTTACTTTGTGGAGTCATGATTTTTAACAATTCATTTCTGTGTTGTGATCTAATCGTAATGAGAAATTGTTATCGTTTTAGATGTGCTTGTATTATATGAACATTTAACATTTATTTCCGGCCTTTCTAAAATTTAACTCGTTCAAGCGTAATTCGTGAGCGGGTGACCACCATAATGCA